TTCCTAATAAACCTGTTAAACCTTTTCCCTGGTCTCCCTGTTTGGTCTTCTGCATTTGGGCCTGAACTTTAGTAAAATCATGACACCGCTGGTCTCCTAAACAAGACAAAAGAAAATTGTTTAAATTTTTTTGAAGCAGATGCTAAAACAATCCTCTTAGAAGGAATTGTAACACGTGTAATTTGTAATGCGTCCTTAAGATAAGTATTGTTATTGTGTTTTTCTTTTGCAGACATTTGAGCTCCATCTGTTTATTCCATATGTTGAAAAATGTACCTCTTAACTTCCCCACTCTCTCCTCCATCATCTATACTGGCCTGAATTTTAGCCTCGTTTCCTGCAAGAACTTTTGTTTTCTTCTGCTTACCTTTAAATGATTGTTTTTCTCTGTAGTTTATTCATTTATTCATTTGGCTCCGTTTTCTCTGGAGCCATAGTAAAATCCCAGCTGTATCCTGCAACAAATTCCATATTTAATGGCGCTTATTTAAGATGCAGCTTCTGATGACTTAAAGTCATGCAACATTTGCATCAAACCTCTTTTTTCAGCAATGAATGTCCCAAAGTTCACATCAACCTCAGCATTGCTGACTGAACGCTGATATTTAACAACACACAGACTTCATCTAGAGAGACATGCCAGCCAGCGAGCTAACCGATCCAAGGAGCATCTTCCTACACTGCAAGGTTTTCAAGCATATTTGACTGCCTGATTCATAACAGAATGAAGGAGGACTGGATTCTGTTCAGATCATAGGAGCATTTGGACTAACCAGCAGCTCAGGGAATAAGCTTTGCAGAAAGCATATTTTAGTGCTTGGCTAAAGCATTCATACTCCCTTTTTTTTCTTGCATTTTGTGTCATTACAACAGCTTTGTACTTTTTAGGTTTTCATATGAGACCCACATTTGCATATAATTATGAAATGAAAAAGAAATTGCATTATGCTTTTTTATGTTGCCTTCCTGAGTCCATTGCAGGATGAATCTCTGCCGTTCTTACAGCTGCAGGTATTTTCCTTTATAACCAAGCATTTTGCACATATGGTGTCAAGTTGGGTGGACGTTTTAAAGGACACAAATGCAGACACTGCAGCTGAAGGTGGTTTCTTGCAGATTTAAAAACAAAAAGGGTAACAGAAGCAAAAATCCTAAAACTTAAATCCACAAAATAAAAAAAAAATACTGAAACCCAAGAATACTCACAACAAAGGAGCAAAGAAATGATGACAAACCAGCAAACAGTGACTGAGCAGGAGGTGCATATATGGGAGAGAGAAACAAAGAGCAGGCTAATCAGCAGACTGGGAGCAGGTGTGGACAGAGGAGTCTAGAAGGGAGCTAGGGGAAGGAGACTGACATAAGAGGGAAACAAAGGGTAAACAGGAAACACAGAGAACTTAAATACAATCAAAGATAACTAGAATAAAACTAAATGGAAATAAAACCAATAAAAATTAAAAGAACCAAAACCATGACATATGGACATTTAGATGTATTTTTTTGCCCATTCTACTAAAAACAGGTGAAGCTCAGTCAGACTGGATGGGGGGGTAGAGGACCTAGAGAGTCACTGAAAAGGAAAACCATCCATTTTAAATTTAACATTGAAATAATGCAAATTGAAACCCAAGATGAAAAGCATTTTCTAAATATACACATTCAAAAGTTTGGGGTCACATTGAAATGTCCTTATTGTTGAAGGAAAAGCTCTGTACTTTTCAATGAAGATAACTTTAAACTAGCCTCAACTTTAAAGAAATACACTCTATACATTGCTAATGTGGTAAATGACTATTCTAGCTGCAAATGTCTGGTTTTTGGTGCAATATCTACATAGGTGTATA